CATCAAAATAGGATACGATGCAGTGTAGATGAACCCTAAGGCTCTACACTGCAGGCTTCTTTTGGAATAAGATTTTCCGGAAGAGATCTCCTAGAAAAGCTTATTTTGAAATAGAACGTCCCCATACACCTTTTTCCGAAAAAGGCTTATTCTTTGTGGAATGAGGTTTACCGCCATTGGATAAAGCCCTCTGTTATTTCAACATTCTGTTGAAATAATGCAATTGCAGTGTGGACGCTAGTATTGTTTTTCATTCTGGAAAAACGGTGCAGTGTAGACACACCCAAGGCTAGGTCTAGACTACATGACGCTGTCGACGGAGCCATGTAAAATAGTTTATTCGGCATAGTCAAAGAAGCAGGAATTTAAATAATCCCTGCTTCGTTAAAATAAAAATGGCCACCACACTATGCTGACGATCAGCTGATCCAGCACAGCGCAGCAGTCTAGACGCAGCGCGATCGACGAGGGAAGCCTTTGTCGACCGCTCCGATATGCCTCGTGAAAGGCTTCCCTTGTCGATCGCACCGCGTCTAGACTGCCACACTGTGCTGGATCAGCTGATCGTCGTCACAGAGCGGCGGCCATTTTTATTTTAATGAAGCGGGGATTATTTAAATCCCCGCTTCTTTGACTATGCTGAATAAACTATTTTACATGGCTCCGTCGACAGAGCCATGTAGTCTAGACATAGCCTAAGAGTCCATCTCGGAGGGTACAGATAGAAGGCAGAGACCAGATTACGGTTCTGCAAGGTCAGCAAATGTTATGACCACTAAAGACCACTAAGGGGGTTTCTTGCACCTTCGTCACAAGCAGCTGCTGGCCGCTGTCAGAGACAGGCTAACAGACTAGATGGAGCATTGCTCAGACCCCGTATAGCTAGTTCTCTACATAGTACCATATACCCTCCTAAACTCCTCAAGCTATCCTGATTGTAATCTGTTTGGGGGAGGAGCTAGCTGCCTCTTTGCACAGGGCCCTGGCCTCTAGGTGACTCCGGTACAAATAATCATCCTACATTTTAATGTATCCAGGCATTCGAGTGGCTGCTGTGAAAACGCAGGCTCAGAACTTGGCATGGCTGGGTCTTGGGCTCCAGTGGGGGACAATAAAGACACCTTTGAGAGCGGCTCCAATGATGCTTTTGTCTAGCAGTGACCGAGGGGATCCCTTGCTAGGCTTCCCCTCTGCTCTCAGGAGCAACGAAGGGTGTCCCCATGCTGAGCCATCCCTGACAGCACAAGCTCTTGAGCGGGGGGTGGCTTCCACTGAAATCCAGGGGCTTTCTAGTGGGGATTTCTGCAATCCTGGCTCTGATCGCTCTGCAGGCTGCAGAACCCGCGGCGTAGCGTGTGCACCCATTGCCTTGACGCAGGAAAACAGTCCCCGTTCTGCAAAGGGTGGAGGTGTCACTCTATTGGTTGCAGGCCAGAAAGCAAGGCTGCATTTCCTTGCTAGAAAACAACTGATAAGAACGGACGTCCCGAAATGTGGCCGAGCAGGATATCCTACCTGCCTATTCCCAACCCTAGAATCATACGGGTGGCATTTTCCTCTTTGCACTGGTGGAACAGAGTGACTGCCCGCTGCCTGCCACCCAGTTACTCCTGATCTAGTCCACTGTCAGACCACAGTCGGGCCCGATGCCCTAGACACAAGCTTTTCCATGGGTCCTGACGAAACTAGCTCTTGGACAGAGTCTCGTATGCAGCCAGCTCACCGGGAGTACACGCCGCACATGGCTCATCTGGCAGCAGCCATCTACACCGGTCACTAACCCAACAGGTCGCTGCATCACCGGCGGATGGCTAGGACAATGCATTGCAAGGAGACCTGCATTCACAGACAGCACAGCTGCTTCCTGCCAAGAGGAAGCTCCTGGAAAGAAATCCACTTGCCAGAGGCCAGCCCTGCCTTAAACTGAGCTCTGAAACAATGTCCAGGTTAACCCTTTGAGGCCCAAATCTTGTGAGAGGCTGAGCACCTCTAGGTCCCGTTAGCTAGGACTGGACGGAGATGGAGGTGATCAGTACTGCCCGGGCCAGGGCCTGAGTCTACAGAGCAGGTCGGTGCTGCTGCATCTGGTTTTGCCACCTGATCTTGTGCATGTGACAGCAGCATGTTCCTAGTCCAGGGGTGGGCAATGATTTTTGATGGGGGCCACTCCAAGATTTTGGAAAGTGGTCGAGAGCCGCACTCTTCCATGATATGAATGGAGGAGGTGCGGGGTCTGGAATAGGGGTGGGGTGCAGAAGGGAGCTTGGGGTAAGGGACTGGGGTGCAGGAGTCTGGGAGGCAGCTGGGATGAGGCAGGTGGTTGTGTCCCCCTAGGGCAGGGGACTGGGGCGCTCCGCTGCCTCCGTGGGCTGGATTTGGCCTGATTTTGCCCAGGCCTGTCCTAGTCGGTCACTGTGGCTCATCTCCCAGGAGTATGTTTCCAGTCATTGCTCCTGGTGGGGCCCCCCGCATCCTGCATCAGCCCACGTTTCCACTCACTGCCCCATGACACCCAGACCGTGAACTGCCTCTGACATCCCAACAGGAAAAAGCAAGAGCCAGCCTGATTGACAGTTGTATCTGCTGCCACGTGCTTGGTTATAAGGGGCAATTCCTCCAGCATGAGCCAGACTGCCCCTCACACCTCACAGCTGGCTCCCACTTCAGGACCAAATTTATCTCCAAATTTATCTGAGCTGGGTATGCCCCCTGAACAGTGGGAGGGGTGCATCTGCCAGGGGTCTGAGGCTCCCTGGGCCAGTGGGAGCTCAGCTGTATCACGAGGGGAAATCCATCGGTTTACAAAGTCTCCCTGTGCACCCTGGTGCACAGATCGACACCAGCACCTGCCTGGGGACAGGCCACTCATGTTACTGCAGTTAGAGGGTAAGGCAGCAGGTGTCAAAGGCAAAGGGGCCTCTAGGATGACAGCTGGTGTGGTGCAGTGGGTGGGACATTGGACACAGGGTATGTCTACACCGCAAAACCCAGGTGTGACTGCAGCATGGATAGCACACTCATGTACCTAGCTAGTTGCCATAATAGCACGGGCTCCGGCACAGAAGGCCCAACTTCTGGCATCACGTGAGGGAGTGAGCCTCTCAGCAGTCTCTTTTAAAATTCAGAGCAGGTAGCAGATTAAACACAAACCGAAGGAAGTTTTTCTTCGTGCAGCATGCAACCTGTGGAACTCCTTGCCAAAGGAGGTTGTGAAGGTGAGGACTTTAACAGGGTTCTGTTCACTCCCTCTGGGGCACTGGGCATTGGCCACTGTTGGTAGACAGGATACTGGGCTATATGGACCTTTGGTTTGACCCAGTTTGGCCGTTCTTGTGTCTAGCTTTTCTGTCTGTGGAGAATAGCTTGAAAAATGTGACCTGAGCTGGGATGGAGAAGGCTGGAGCAATGTGTATAATGGGGGTGCTGAGAGCCACTGAACCAAACTGTAAGCCCATGTAGAATGGAAACCCCTTCACGTCGGTTCTAGCGCCTCCCCACGTGTGGCTGAAGGACTCAAGAAGCCACAGACAAATGCAACACGAATTACGATTTTTATCTCCTGAGTTTGGGGCTGGCGCTGACCCATGATATATGAACACCGAGGATTTGGTTCAGCGGCGCCTGCCTCACAGCAGCATCCTCTGCGAGGCCTCCATCCAACTGCACGGAGTGTCCTATGGCCAGGCAACCCAGAGGGAATCTCCAGGGTGCAGCCTATTTTGTAATTCATTTGACTTGTTTCTGGAGAAGTGCCTACAGGCTGGTGACTGTCAGGCGGCTGCTTTACCATGTGACACCCCAGCCCACCCCAGGCCGAGTTTGCTCAGAAGGGCCTGACCACAGCCATAAAAACAACGGGCCCAGAAAGGAAGTAACAAGGGCACCAGTCCACACAAGCCCAGCCTCAGTGGGAAGCTGTCGACTTTCTGAGCTGTGTCACAAGCTAGCCCCTTTGGATGAGAGAAAAAAAGTCCCCTTAATCAGAGATCCTGGGGCCGGGAATGGAACAGATTGGCTACAACCTGTCATAAAACTAAAGGCCAGTGCGCAAGGCTCTTGGTAATACTAACCGGAGGCGTTTTGCTTGTCTGGGCGAGAGGCAGGCAGCATGGCTCTGGGGGAGAATGCTTGGAAGTGACATTTATTAAACATCCCAAGAGGTGTGCCGTGCACTGGCTGGCCTGCCAGCCCTACCAGGTGTCCAAGGAGGAGTAATGTTGATTACCTGCCCTGTCCTGCCCTGTCTCCTATGGGGGTAAAACGCTCCTGCTACAAGATGAATTTCTTAATTCATATGTGTCAGTGTCTGTTCGGTGCTGCTGAACATGGGAGACTTGCTGTTAAATAAAGCCCTGCTTAGATCATGCGCTGTTCAAACTCCCAAAGCATCACAATCCTGACTTGGATTTATCTCCCCCCTCTCCGCTCGCCTAGTTCGGGGGTTCTGATGCTGTGGCCCCCACCTGCAATTTGTGGCTCTCCACAGGGACACTCACTAACCATCCTGGAATACCCAGCAGGGTCTCTTTTTCACCAGCCGATCTCACAGAGCTCTTCGGATTATGATGGTACCAAATTTATCACCCACAAATGCACCCACAAAATGTGTAGGCACTTTTTTTTTGCATGCATAAAAACAACAAAACCCCCAAGTAACAAGTAGCAGGCCCATCCCTACCCCCGCCCCCAACTTGTACCAGCACTTGGTGTCTGCATGATCAGTTATGTATTTTATGCATGCCAAACAGATGCACCTGTGAATTTTGCTAACAGGGAACCCTCAGAAGATTTGGCCTCCACGATTCTTGATTTATTTTGGATACGGAGGCACAATGATGTTGCAACTTCCTATGCATGCACATCATGCATGTGCGGTCATCACATCCTGCCCCAACACTGCATCACACCCGTAAAATGGGAACAACTGAGTGTCATGGCCTAAGATTGTTTTGTCTCCTGGGGAAACACAAACCCATGAGCAAGGAGAGGGAAGCATGTACCTCCTTGAGCAGAGTCCTCTCGTATTCCTGCAGCTGCTGCTGGAAGCCAAAGTTGGGACTGACATAGGAACGGACGACCTTGGTGGCAGCCAGACACTCCTCCCAGCTGAGGTCGGTCACCGTCATTAGGTAAGCCACCAGGACCGTGGTGCTGCGGGAAACACCAGCCAGGCTGTCGTAACAGGAGGGTTGAAAACAAGAAGAGCGCACAGTGACAGGGTGCACACAGGAGGTGGGAAAGCCCCATGCATGCACGCTAGAGAGGCACCCCCAATTCAGCCGCCTGGCTAGAAGTACCTCCTGCCGGGAGTGCATCGGTTAGCCCTGCACCAACACCCGGTACAGGACACAAGCGGGTGTGGAAAGCCAGTCCCTTGGTTCAGAGGGGCCTCTTTCAAGAAGCCTTTTCCTAACATTGTGAATCCGGTAGATAGGAAACTGCACTGAGGCTCAAGCAGAGGTGAAAGGAAGTGGGTGCCCAGCTCCAGCAGGAGCTGGCTGAGCTGCCGACAAAGCCAGCAGGGAGCTATTTAAAGAGCCGGCAGGGACCCAGGTTGCAATAGGATGGCGCCGGTAAGAAATGTTAAGTTACTTCCACTGCCGCACAAGAGAGATCGATTCTGTTCCCAGCTCTACTGCTGATCTGCTGGGGGCCCTTGGGCAAGATGCCTCCCATTTCTAGGCCTCTCTTTCCCCCACCACTAATCTCTCTTGCCTCTTTAGACCACAAGCGCTTCAAGGCAGGGCCTGTCTCGCTGGCTGCGTGCAGCTCCCGGCACAGTGGGAACCTGGTCTCCGTTGGGACCGGGTCTGTCACTCCCTCTGTGCCTGTGCTGCTGGTCTCATGTCATTCCCAGGAGGTGTATGCAGCACCCGGCACTAAGGGACCCATGTCCTCATCAAGGTAGGACATGTCACTCGCTGTGTCTGTGCAGCAGCCTCATAATGGGACGCTGCTGTCACCAGGGCCTTTGGATGCTATAGCAGTATTAACAGAGCTACTGGTAACAATGAAAACCACAGGGACTATAAACCCCTGTGGCAATTGACATCCACACTGACCAATGAATGAGGCAGCCTCCCCCGTGCAGCCGGCATTCATGAATGAACCTGATGCTCTCCTTAAAATGCTGGATCCTAAGAGAGAAAGCAAACAGCGAGATTAAGCAGAGGCTGCCCATGTTACTGAGACGGGTTCCAGTGCACCCTCCTGACTCTCTGGACAAGAGGCTGAGCTCCTGCCTACAGGGAGAGGTCACAAAGAGAGCTGCTGCATCACATGCTGCTGCAGGAAGAGGCTGGTTTTACAGATTGTTTTTAAGCAGGAACTAGCACCGGGTCCAAGTGAGCACTGCTGCCAGCAGTCATACAAAGATTGCATCCGGAGAGGCCCGCAAAGCAGAGCACAGCCCTTAACTGGAAACTCCCCACCACCCTGGGAGAGAGAAGTGTCAAATTAACCCCCTTCTCCATTGATTTGCATCCCCCCCCCACTTCAGGTGTAGAACCCAGGACTTTCTAGCTGCCAATCCCCTACTCATTACACTGGTCCACACTCTAAGGAAGCATGAGTTTGGTGATGAGGCATTAGCTTGGGGCTCATTCCCTAACTCTGCCCCTGACTTCCTGAGTGACCTTGGGCACATCACATCATCGCTCTGTGCCCCGTTTCCTCATCTGTAAAAGAGAGATAACGACCCAGATCTCCTCTGTGAAGCGCTTTGAGATGTGCTGACAGGTTCTACATAAGAGCAAGGTTTTCTTATTCCGAGGAATAGTAAAAAAACTGGGCATGTTTAGCCTTGAGAAAAGAAGACTGAGACAGGATCTGAGAAAAAGTCTTCAAAGCTGTTAAGGACTGTTATAAAGAGCTTCACGGGGTAGCCGAATTAGTCTGTAACAGGATAAACTTAAAAAACAACTAATGGTCTGGTAGCACTTTATAGACTAACAAAACATGTTGATGGTATCATGAGCTTTCGTGGGCACAGCCCACTTCTACAGATGACTGGAGTTATGCGTTTGGAATGTGCAGACCCCAAAATAAATAGGTTATAAAGAGGACAGGGATCAGTAGCTCTTCGGCTACGTCTAGACTAGCCCCTATTACGAAATAGCCATGCTAATTTCCAACTTTGGAATAGGGAAATCCGTGGGGGATTTAAATATCCCCCGCAGGATTTAAATAAGCATGTCCGCCGCTTTTTTTCCGGCTTGGGGAAAAGGTGGAAAAAAGCGTCTAGACTGACGCGATCCTCCGGAATAAAGCCCTTTTCCGGAGGATCTCTTATTCCTACTTGAAATCCCCTGCGGATTTCCCTATTCCAAAGTTGGAAATTAGCATGGCTATTTCGTAATAGGGGCCAGTCTAGACGTAGCCTTCCTGTTCACTGAAGATAGGCAAAGAAGTATAGATTGAACCTCTCTAGGCCAGCACCCTCTGGACCTGACTGGTACCAAACCAGAGAATTTACCGAACCACAGGAGGTTGATCTTGTCTAGCAGCATTGCCAACACTTCCACGGCTTACTGGGTGCTTAGATGACATTTTAGGGGTAAATTAGAGCTAAATCACAGCACAAAACACTAGCCAGGACTGGTGGCTGTAAACAAACTTTTTAGGACCGCAGGAAACTTAGCCACATCTGTGCTAAGTGAGCATCCGGCTAACAAAAAGCATGCTGGACCACAGATGTTGCCAGACTAAAGAGTGCCGGATGAGAGAGGTTCAACTTGTAATGGAATTAACCTACAGCAAGCAAAATTGAGGTAAGCTATTAGACACAATTTTCTAACGATCAGAGTCATTAGGCTCTGGAAGCGTTTTCCAAGGGAGACAGTAGAAGCCCCAATATGGGAGGCTTTTGAGACTAGGCTGGACAAACCCTCTGTCAGGGATGGTGTAGTGCAGGGGACTGGATGTGACAACGTCTCAGGGTCCCTTCCTGCCTGACATTTCTCTGATTGTACAATGGAGAAAATCACGGTTCCTGGCTCCCACCTCTTGTCTATTTCAATTGTGAGCCCCCTGGGGCAGGAACCGTTCCTTCCAGAATTCAGCACAATGAGGCCTGGATCTCAGTTGGCGTCGATAGGCATTACCACCACACAAAAGATAACAACAACTCCATGCAAGCCAGTGACAAGTTACAAGATTTAAAGGTGAGGTGTAACGTTGCTTCAGATCACAAACATCCCCCCAGGCCCGGCATCATCATATGCAGGGGCTAATACAAACGCTGCTCTGTTCAATCTCATCCAAGACAAAAAGCATTTCTAGGATATCAGCAGAGCACCAGTTTTTGTGTTTGTTCTTCTAAAGCAGTGTTTGCCGGAAATGTTGCCAGAGGAGGCTGTGAAGGCTAGGACTATAACAGAGTTTAAAGAGAAGCTAGATAATTTCATGGAGGTTAGGTCCATAAAAGGCTATTAGCCAGGGGATAGAAATGGTGTCCCTGGCCTCTGTTTGTCAGAGGCTGGAGATGGATGGCAGGAGACAAATCACTTGATCATTGTCTTCGGTCCACCCTCTCTGGGGCACCTGGTGCTGGCCACTGTCGGCAGACAGGATACTGGGCTAGATGGACTTTTGGTCTGACCCAGTACAGCCGTTCTTATGTTCTTATGTTCCCTTGTAACTCACTGGCCCAAATTCTGCGGCTCAGCCAAAGAAGTGAGGCTGAATTCTGAGGACATTTTTCCATACTAAAAAAAAGGGGGAAAGCCGGAACTTTCCATCCAAAAGGGCAAGATAATTGAGGGGTGATGGTAAGTCAGCAGAGAAGCTGCCAGGAAGGCCAGGCCAGAGATAGCAGATGTGCAGCTGCCTCTCATCATTGCTCTCATGAGACCCTGTTCTCCATTCAGGGTCCAGTTAGCTGTTCATTTCCCTACCTCTCGCTTTCCCTGCCCAATTCTTTGGGATACATTCAGATCTTGTGTTGGTAGGTGCAACTCTGCAGGCGGGAGCCACCTCTGGGTGACACGGAAGGATTCTGGAAAGGCATCCAGGTGGCTTTCTTGGGAGCCACAAAGATGAGCCAGGGGAAGATGCAGGAGAGATCCCAGAAGATTCTGGCCCTCTACATAAATAGACTGGGCCAGATCCTGCCTTCCATTACGCCTGGAGTAACTCTACGGATATCAGTGGAGTTCCTTGCCGTTTCTGCCAGCATGTGCCAGAGAGCAGAAGCCGATCTGTTCTCCCTGCCCTACCATCTCAGCCCTTCCAGGTTCTGCAGAGCCCCTGGCCTTATGTGAACCATTAACAAAAGATCTAAGAAAAACAAAGCAAGCCGAGATCTGGCAACCAGCCAGTCTGGTATGACACCAGTCCCGGCTAAGGAGACATTAACCCTTTGAGTGTGCGGCAGCAGAATGCATCCTTTGTCATTCTCCCAGTGAATGGGTGATTTATTAAATAAATTCAGCCCCTCTCCCTGGAGCAGAGATAAGGGCTATTGTTAGCATGGGAACACGGTTACCCTCATCTCTCCTTCCTTCTCTCCCTGCCTCCTCCCCCACATGTGTTCTCAGACACCACCCTGACTTCCTCCGTCTTCTCATGAGCAGGGCGTGGATGTTCTCCCACGGCCTTCCTGATTTCACAGAAGTCAGGACAAGATTAGATGGATTGTACAAAACCGCAGCGGAGCCATTCCTCAGTAACCCTGTGGCTTTTCTCGGGAGACCGTCCAGCTCATTCTGCACGGGTTCTGGGGAGCTTGCGATGGGTGAGCACCAGAGTGGGTGGCCAGACAGCCGGGTTCTAACCACGGCTAGGGGCTCAGAGAACTCTTTTCTGTCTCTGCTAAGAGGGGAGGCCGCCCATCTCCTGGAACAGCAGTTCGGACCCCTTCTAAGAAACCAGCCAACAACAGTATTTAAAAGGCAGCCAAGGCTTTCGTGGGCCGACATGGAGAGGCAGACTGCTGCCCTGTACAGGGGTTTATACCAGGAAAACCGGCCCGTATGCAGGAATTTCGGGGGAGGGGTGATTTTTCTGTAAATGTGGGCTGCAAGGCTGCGAACACCTCCCTCCATGGTCCTGCAAGTGAGCATGCTCTCCCAGCCGGGGCAAGGCAGGAGTGGCACATTACCCAAGTCTTCCGCCCCCATGCTCCAGCTGGCTGAGGGCCCTGCCCCCGGCCTCATTCCTGGGCAGGGGGGCCATCAGCCCCAGCCTTCCCCCTGGCCAGATGGATCATGCTTACTTGGGGAACCATGAGGGGTGTGTTTGCGCCCTTCGCACACACTCACCGTGTGCAGGCCTGGGGGGGGGGGTCCCTGAACCCCAATCGCACAAACACTAGTGTGACCCAAAGAGGCGAATTGTGGAGCCGGGTTGTGCCCAAGTAGCGCTGCCGCCGGCTCACGCTCCCTGCAAGGCAGGAGGGGGCTGAAGCCACATATTTGTGTCATTGTTGGCTTCCCAGGCAGCTGGGCAGAGACCCGGGGCATTCGTTACACAAGTGGGAGTCGCTCGTTTGAATGCCACACGATCCACAACCAAAGCCCCCCTCCTGGAAGCATGTGAGGTTAAACCGGCTTCCACCTCTCATTTCTTTGGTGGGGGCACTCGGGATCTCTGGCCACTCATCAGTCTTGGCGTGGGGCCTTGACGAGAAAGCAGCCCACATAGTGGCCAGAAATAAGCATCTGCCAGGCTGGGGGTTGTTACAAGCTTGGCTTTTAGTTCAGGCCAGTTTCTAAGGCAGCACTGAGCTAGCTCAGGCCTGGGGGCGCAGGGTAGGACCATGGTCCCCATCTTGGAGCTGGGACAGCTGAGCCACTCGGGCTGTGGGGTGTGCCCAAGGCCACCAGGAAAGTCAGTGGCAGAGCTGGAAAGAGACTGGCAGGGCTAGGAATAAGGCCTGGCCATCCTAGCACAACCTCCACCCTGCTCTGACCAAAGGTGTCCCTAAAGGTGGGGAGTGAAGGACATGGTTCCGTCCTGTTTCCGCATTACCCATGGAGAGCTGCAGTCCCAGGAGGCCCAGGTGCAAATGGAGCATTAATGTCCCCGCTGGAGACAGCCCCCCTGCCCCAAGGGAGGGACGGACGCTTCAGGCACAGAGCTGCTGTTGTCCAGCTTCTGAGAACAGGACATAGAACCAGGGGGCTGGAACTAGCAGCAG